ATTGCCAATAATTATGAGTAGTTTCGAATCGAGTAAGATTTCTTTATTGGATGCATTTAATAAATTATAAAATGCTTGAGCATTACGGTTTGGGTCTTCGTTTGTGTTAGATGGATTAAATGATGAACCAGCTACATCCATTGCCATTGTGTAATATTCTTTGGCTTAAGGTTCATCTAATATTTGTTTAGGTTCAACAAAATTTACTTGAATTGTCACCATAATTAACCGAGCTCATTCTTTTCATGACGTCTCCACACATAATACTCGGACATAAAACCATATCTCATCAAATGGTACTTAAAGGTATTAAGATTTTCATAACTACGATTTTGATATTTTTTAAGCTTACAAGGATATCTTATCTTATTACTATCAATATACTCCGGATGACTAACGATAAAATTAATAAATTCATTAATCGATCCATAAAAAATTCATTTAAAAATCCATCGATTAGTTTATAGTCAAACCATGAATGATCCGAATTCATTTTAAACTAAATATAATTATTTTAATAAGTAAACTACTAATTTACTTCAATTAAGAAATAATAAACTTGTTTAACAACTAATTAATTAATATTGTAATTAACCAAGTAATTAATTCTTCTAATAAAAAATTTAATACTTCAATTACAAAACAATTGACTTAATTGAACAATTTAAAAAGGAAATTGACAACCAAAGTAATTAAACTAACATTTAATTTTGTATTTTTTAAAAAAATAATAATTTAATTTCCTAAAAAATAATATAATAATTAAATTACCAAATAATGGATTTAATTTAACAATTATAAAAATAAATTAAAAAGCAAATGAATGAAACTAACCCATAATTGTATAATGGAAATTAAATTTTATTAATTTAATTATAAACTTTTAATTTTCTTATTGAACTACCTAATTGATTCTTTTAAACACAAATTAAATAATTTAATTATAAAGTAATTGATTTAATTAACAACTATAAAACTTAAATAACAAACAAATAAATTAAAATAACATGTATATAATGTAATTCTAAACTAATTTTCTTATTTTACTAAGCTGATGAATTATTTTAAACAATATTTTAAATTTTTAATTACCAATTAATTATTTTATTTAATGTAACAAATAAAAAATTTAATTACCACCTAAATATATAATTAAACTAACAAAAAATTAATTTCATAAAAAATATTAAATATTATATTTTCCCATAATTTTAAATAATGTTATTAACACGAAAATCGCTTATTTAAAAATTAATTAATTTATTAATAAAAGTAATACCTCTTCAATTTTTTTTTAAAAAAACAATCCAATTATTTAAATACCAACAATTTTACTTAATTTAATTAATAACTAAATGATATTTATTTAACAAATAATTTATTAAAATAACACTTAAATAATTTTTTTAAAAAACAATAAATTAAGTTACAAATAACAAATAATTTTAATAATAAAATAAATTAAAATAACTAACAATTAACCAATAAATCACTTATTTAAAAACAATTAACAATTAAATTTGTTAAATACCAACAAACAAACTTTATTTCATTAAAAACCATATAAATAAAATTTATTTAACAAATACTTAATTATACAAACGCTTAAATAATTATTTTAAAAAAATTAAATTAATTAACAAATAACAAATACTTATAACAACAAAATTAAATAAACTAACGAACAATTAACTAATAAACGACTAACAATTAAATTAAATTTATTTAAAACATAATTTTTTAAACTAACAACTTAATTAGTTATTTAAACACTGAATAAAATTAGTTAAAAAATAATAAAATAGTTTAAACGAAATAGCATTAACCAACTAATCACTATTTAACAACAATTAAGAACTAAAATTTTTTAAATACCAATAAATAAACTTAATTTCATTAAAAGCTAGATAAATCAAAATTATTTAACACATATTTTATTAAACTAACACTTTAAAAATTATTTAAAAAATAAATTAAATTAATTAACAAAAATAAACAATTAAACTCACTAACAATTCACTAAGAAATAATTAACAATAAAGAATTAACAAAAAATTAAATTATTCAAAAAAAAATTGAAAAACAAATTAATGCAAGGGTTACCAAATTAAGAGTTGCTACCAAGGAGAAGAGGAGTGAAAGGAGGAGGAGGAAAGGAGAGAAAGAAGAAGAAAAGGGAGGAGGAGAGGGGAGGGATGGAGGGGAAGAAGAAAAGAAGAGAAAATAGGAGATTTAAAGGGAGTTGGAGTCGTTGGTTGGGGGAGAAATTGGGGAGGGAGAGAGATTCGAGCTACTTGGAAGAAGGAAGAAGAAGAGAGAAAGTTTAGGAGAAAAAAGGGGCGGTAGTGTATATCTAAGGATTTAATTTTTAGCAACGGTTTTGGTCTCATGGCTAAAAATTTTAAATTTTGAAAATATGACGAGTTTCCCCTAAATAGTTATAAAATTAGCAACGATTTTATTAAACCATAACTCATTTCTCACCTTTTACGATGGTTTTTTTTTTTCCAAAAAACCATCGCAAATAGTTTTAAAAAAAATTCCCATTTCGAGGGATTTAGAGATGGTTCACCAAAACCATTGCTATATAATTGAGAAATTAACAACGAGTTTACCTAAATTGTCCCTAATTTCAAAATTATTCATAAGATTTGAAACAATTCACCTAAACCTTTGCAAAATTCGATCTTTGTTGACCGATTTAGTAATGGTTTATTGAACCGTCGCTAATATTTGTTTGGAGAACCCGAGTTTCCTATGGTTCTTTAAAAACCATCATGGAAAAAGCCATTTTTGCTACAATTTTTAGATCGTCGCAAATAAACCCTTGCGAATTCTATTTTGTTTCGGTAGTGCGTCTACCATGAGATTTCAATTTCTTAGAGACAAACTAACTATTGGCAAATACCATAGTTAATTTGTAGGGGAGTATTAGACACATACGGTAAGGACTCCGGCATTGATAAGTCCTATTGTAACAAAAACTCTAAGTCCTGCTATAACAAGAACGTTCTCTCTCTAGAACTTAATTATATATGAAAATAATCACGCTCTAGATTATGTTAAAAGTATCTTATACTCAAGTTACCATTTCATTCACATTAGTTTTTTTTAAAAAAAGATTTTAATAAAAAATTAGATAAAAAGTATTCAAGTGAAATGTTAGTGAAAGAATGTATGAGAGACAACAAAAAATGTTGATTGATACTCTTTATTAAGAAAAATATTTTTGTTATAAGTTTTTTTTTTAAATTATTTTCATTTTTGTATCGTTAAATGGTTGCTAAATAGTGTTGATGAAAAAAATAATTTTTTGCTATCATATTTGTCTTATTGAAAAAATTTCTATTTTTTTATTTTCATCTTTTTATTTATATTGAGATATTTCATAAATTTTGGAGATGAAATTGAAATGTAGGCGAGTGGAAAAGATTAATTAAAAAAAAACGAGATATAAGGTTTAATTGAAATGAATCAAAAGTTTTAATTAAAATTTAGAAAACATGCAAACGTTAGGAAGGAAATTGAAAATTTCCCTTTTTCTTAATTATGGAATGAACGAGTGCTTGGCTCAAGGCATAGGCCTTAATGGCCCCCATAGAAAGGGGGCCCCAATTAAAATTTTATCCTAAACCTAAACCGGTGAAGAATGAGATAAATTAGAAGATGCGAGTCTCCACCTAAGTATGAGACATCATTCTTCTCTCTATTAACGAGTCATAGGTACTAGAGTTCCTGCATTGAAAGGCTCCCATTGTTCGGAGATATTATTATTTTAACGTTAAAAATTCTATCTTTTCTAGATGTCTTTTCGAGTTACCTTGTACCTATAAAAGCTTTCAATTTTTATTTTAGTGAGACATTTTTACTTACGGAAAAGTTTCAAAAAAATATTTGTGAGTGAAACAATTTTTAGATCTTCAAATTTTGTTATTATATTCCTTTCTTTTTCTAAACAATCGGGGATCTCTTATAAAACCTTTTCCAATTAGCTTGGTAGAAGAATGCGAAGGTAATTTTTTAATTTATGTAAATAAAATTATGTATATAAATTATATAATATTTTATTTTTTTCTCAAATTTCTTTTTATTTTCTTAAGTGATTCTGTTCGGGTTTACTTGATTAGGTGTGGCAAGCAAATATAATCGGATGCCAAAGTTTCTTACTCTTTTTATAATTATATTTTAATTTTATTATTTGAATAAAATGTCTATTAGAAAGAATGAATCTGGATATAAAAAATATAAGAAAAAAAGTAGAAGAACTAATTCAATCCCAAAAAGGTGCACTTGATAGATTTATTACTAATATTAAACCATAAATACTAGAAGAAGATAAAGATTTAAATAAAAATATAGTTAAAAATTATCAAGAAAAATATTACTTTGCCTATCATCACATATATTATAAAGCCGACCATAGCAATGAAACACAGCACATATTCAAATGAAGATCCCAACCTTTCAGAATCCATGTGTTGGTAAGAATCTTAACCTGTGAGAATTAGTGATGCTATATTTTCCTTTAGAAATTCCTGACTGAATATATATATTTGAGTGAAGATAAAGTAGACCCGGAATGAATGGCGTGATTTTTATTATTGAATAGTGCTTTTTACGAAGTCGGGTACTTTTTCCAGAAGATTATGTAATTTTGTTACCTTGTCTTTATTGAGCAGTGATAATCAAATGGAAGAAGATCCTTCAATCAGTACAAACATCAATCTAACGGTTTGGAAATGCTGGACTGTTAGCTGATGAATAGAAAATAACGCTCCTATCTTTTCAACGTTACAGCTTCAATAAGCAAAACCTTCTGTGGTTACAAACCCTGCACGTCGCTGTTATTAGAAACTACTAAATTTATCTCAGAAAAGAGCTATTTAAATGATAGCTTAGAGGCAGTGATCGACATGCAAATAGACTTCACGTGGTTGTTTATACTTTGTACACTTGTCTGCTTTAAATAAGAGGGGGGCATACAGTTCGTAAAAGTTTCTATGGAAAGATCATTAGGAGTGAGGAAAGGTGCATGGACCGAAGAGGAAGACATACTTCTAAGGAAGTGCGTCGAAAAGTATGGTGAAGGAAGATGGCGTCAAGTTCCCCTTAGAGGAGGTATCTAAATGTCTTCATTCATGCTTGTAGTTCAACGTGGGTTTCTAAAGGTATAAGAGGTATCCTCATCGTATAATCCAAGGTCCGCTGACCTTATTATTGAAGAAAGAAAAACGACCTTGAGAGAATTCCCATCTGTTTGAAAAACATTGTGCTCTCTCATTTCTACAGTATGGAGAGATCTTGAACAATTATCACTCGAGGATTTCTCGTTTATATGTCCATATTGAGTATAGTCTCTCGAGGGTGACAAGAGGCAGGCCATATATATTCAACTAGCTGGACGGTTAAAAAAAAGTATACTCTGATTCTCACTTTTAATTTGCAGGCTTGAACAGATGCAGGAAAAGCTGTAGACTGAGGTGGTTGAACTATCTTAAGCCAAATATCAAGAGAGGAGGGTTTTCTGCAGACGAAGTTGACTTAATTATCAGGCTCCACAAACTGCTTGGAAACAGGCAAGTGAAAATGTCTATATTTCAGTACTATTGGTGAGGTCATTTCTCAAATGAAAAACCAAATATCTATATATGTGAAGGAGATATCTAATTTTCTTGAAGCATAGTATTGACTATAAAAATATAAGAAAAGATAATAGTGACTTGTTGTAGTTATGGCGATGAGATGAGGCAGAGGCATGGTGGTGGCTACAGAGTAAGCTACAGCGCCTTAGTTCGTTGGAGTTACGGATGGCAATGGATCAGGGGATAGATATCGGCCCATTACTTCAGTCTCTCATCTTATTCATTATAACATATGAATTCATACCTGATTTATCATCTTATGTAATACTCATTTAATAAATATTAAAAATAATTTACCAAAATATTTTGCTTTGGGTTTTTTTTTTTTTGGTTTCAAACAAAGTTTTTTGGTCCTTCATTTATAAGTTATTGATTCTTAAAGTTTTCATAAAAATATTTTGTTCCTTATTTATAAATTTTATGCGATCAGATTCTTACATGTTATTTTATATATATAAAAAATTAATGGGTATTGATTAGGTATAAAATAATAATAAAAAACTATTTAAAAATTATATTAGTAGGTATATATATATTATCCTTATCAATCTCAAAGCTTATTATATTTTTTAATAAATATTTATTAAATCGGATAAAGTAGATAATCGTTTCATATCCGATTCATTATCATTTTTTATTGGAGTATCAATATCAAGATTTGGCATTTGAAATAAACAAATCTAATTAAGTGAACTATAACTTAGTATATTTAGTTTAATAAAAGTAATTAATTAATATAAGTTTAAAAACTATATATTTGATCCCTATATTAAATTTGTTTATAATTTAAACCTTTTCTCAAACACATTTTCTTTCTTGAATGGATTAATATAGAAAACGGAAGTAGGTAAAGTGGGCAAATTAATTTGGCAACAAAGGAAGGAATATTTGGTTTTTATATATATATATATAAGATGATCAACACCAATCAATGTACGTATTATTCGATTATTCTCAAGCTATCGAGACTAAGTTATAACTAACTCATTTCAATTTCACATATGGCGATCATATGTACATAAATATATTTATATATTTTTCTCTTGGTTACACAGATGGGCATTGATTGCTGGTAGACTTCCAGGAAGAACAGCAATTGATGTAAAGAATTATTGGAACACAAGGCTGCGAAAGAAGATGGTTTCCAGCAATAAAGATGTTAAATCAAAACCGGAACCAAAATCAATAACAAAAGCTACCATAGTAAAGCCTCGACCTCGAAACTTCAAAAATATAAGTTGGTTGAGAGAAGGCACTCCATTTATCAATGTCTGTCATCCATTTGGAGACGACCTTTGCAAGCCATATTCTACAATGGCATCGCCACCTTCCGATAATAATGAAGTGGAAAGTCTGTGGTGGGAAAGCTTGTTAGACGACAAAGATATTAATCTAACAAGCAACAGCAGCTTTTTCGGTAATGGGTCAGAAATTGATCAGGAGCCAATCAAAAGTGTTTTTGTAGAGGAAAATGTAAAAGGAGGGGGAAAAGTTAGGGACATCTTCTATGAACAAGGACAAAGGAGTTGGTGCGACTTCTCCTTTGATGCCGGCCTTTTGAATCTGATCGATACAGAACTTTAGTTTTTCTCCGTGTAATATTTGGTGCCAATCAAATAAATTAATTACTTCTTGTTCTTTTCATATCAAACGAAACCACCCACCCCAACCCCCCCCCCCCCCCCCCCCCCCCCCCTCAACACACACACACACACACACACACACATTAGAAATTGTTAGATAATACTTATTGGTACGTAATGTAGGGTAAGACATGGTTTCTTGAAGAATAGGTAAAATAAGCTCAAATACTGCTTCGGGGTTCTCTCGACATAGGACTACTTTTGAAGACTTTTTTTTTAAAGACTCGGAATTGATTTGAGGCATGTTTGACAATGATTTCATCAACCTAACTCGAGATCGATACTTATGAGATGAGCCATTCTTTTCTCTAATATAGTTGGAATTGTTGTCGTAACTTTGTTTTTTTTTTTTTTTGGAAGACCATGATCAAATTTTCTTTAGTAATGACTTCTTTTGCGGTTGAGATCTTAAGAAAACAAGTTGTTTGGTGACTTGCCTCTTAAATAGTATTTTGAATAATTTTTTTTTTTTTGTCCCCAATGTGAGGGGTGATCCTAGTTCGAGCTTTATGAAGAGAATATAAAGCTCAAATTTTGTTTTCAAATGATAAATTTGACTTGAATATGATAAAATTTCAAAGGGGGTCTTTCCTCCTCCTATCGATAATAGTACCTATCCGAACGAGTTGTATTTTCATGAGTGACTTTTATTATAATAGTATTCGGATAAAATCTATAAATCTAGACATTTGCTATGTCATTTTGACGGGTGATGCCATAGGAGTAATTTGGGATATGGACCAATGAAAAAGATTTTGGCTCAATTCGTTTCGGTTTTATGTTTGTCCTTTTTTAGGTTTATGTATAACCTTTGTATGGCGAGTCTCGAGTGTCAACAAGATGTACCTATTCCTTTTTACTAGGCTCACCATTTTATTTATCTATTATTTTAGGCAAATTGAATGATTATCTTCATACCGAAACCTTGGTTGCTCAACCTAGTTAGGAGTAATTTTTGATAAATACGAAGTGGTCAAACTAAATTCAAAAAGCATATAGAAACCAAGTTCTTCTCGAATTCACTTAGGCTTTTTTTATTTTCATTTTTTTGATTGATTTTTTTTTAGGTAAATTGAGCATGCTATCTATTGAGTAGAAGCACTCGCTATGAAATCTTGATTGACTTGCATACCATTTATAAATAGTATTAATAGAGATCATAAAATGATGTTAAAGATATGGAAAAAAAAATGCAATGCACATGTTTGGCCTAAATTTCATTCTTTATTTCATGAAGAAAGAAATAACATTCCTCAAGCATCGTATTCCTTCACCGCATCAAAATTTACGAGGTTTGACTATATTTTCCCTATCCATATTAGCCAAAAGGAGTGCTCCCTCCGAAAATACTTTTCTCACTACATAAGGGCCTTCGTAGTTGAGGGACCACTTACTCGCTATTCTCCTTAGGTATCGATAGAATTTTCCCGAGCATTAGATCTCCCTCACAAAATTTTCTTTGTCCGACTCGTTTATTTTATACATTGGTCATTCTTTTCGATACATTCTTGCATCATAAATAAGTGATCGACCTCTTTTCACTAATCATGTTTAACTATTCATATCCGATCCGAGCCTATTCTATTTCTCCCAACTCGTGTTTTCATGAGTATCCCGAGAGAAAGGATTTCTACTTCCAAAGTCTTCACCGCCTTTGTCTCGTAAACCAAAGACAATGGTATAGCACTCATGGATGTTCTTACAATTGTACAATATGCATGTAGGGCATATGAGAGCTTTTCATGCCAATTCTTATATGTGATCACCATTTTCACGTACGATCTTTTTGATGTTCTTGTTTATAGCTTCAATTGCTTCATTCATCTTAGATCGGTAGGGTTTCGAGTTCGGATACTTAATTTTTCACCATTTGTATAATTCTTATGATCACCTTCCCATTGAAATTTTGAGTATTATTAGTGATTATTGTGTTCGATGAACCATACCGACAAACCAAACTCTTTTAAATGAACCGTCGGATCACTTTCTAAGTGACATGAGCATAAGAAGTGGCTTCAACCCATTTGTTAAAATAGTCTATTTCCACTAAAATGAGACAATGATCATTGCTTGCTTTTGGATTAATAGGCTCAATGACATCCAAACCCTACATGGCGAAAGACTAAGGTGATATCATACTATTAAGTAAAGGCGAATGAGCATTGATCCGATATTTATAGACTTGACATTTATGGCACTTATAAACGTACTCTATCCAATCCCTTTCCATTGTCAACCAAAAGTATCCGCATTGTTATATCCGATGGGTCATAGTGTAATCATTTGCATAAATTACATAAATTCTCTCAAGGACCTCTTCAATTATTCTCCTAGCCTCGGCTATATTTAGACAATGAAGTAGTGTCCCATCAAAACTTCATTTGTATAAAAACCTCACCATCTAGTTAAATACATAGCCAACCTTCTCGGAACCTTTTGATCTATTTTGGCAATACCAAAGGGATACTCTCGATTTTTTATGAACATCCGGATATCATGATACCACGGCTTGCCATCTGTTTCTTCCTCAATAGCACAATAATAGGCCAATGAATTTCTAGTCTCAATACAAATGGGTTATATCCCGACTCTAGGATCAAGTCGAGTCATTAAGGCCAAAGTTGCTAATGCATTCGCAAACTAATTTTTATCTTTCTCGGATGAGCAAATTCAATTTTTTCAAACTCTTCAACTAGTTTGGTAAGATAAACCTAGGAAGGTTTTAGCTTTTCATCCTTGGTTTGTCATTCTCCTTTAACCTAGCGGATTATCAACATTGAATGGTCATATACCTCAAGTTTTGTGATCCCTCTCTAGTTAATTTTAGACCATGTATGTAAGCTTCATACTTCTTTATATTATTGGTACAGATCAAATCAAACTTGGATGGTTATTAGTCTACTTGCCATTTGGTGAGATCGAATAGGCCCTATACCATTACTCGCTACATTCATTACTCCATCGAATACATAGTCTATTTCTTATCGTCTAACTCGACCATTCCAACTTTAAATGCAATAAGGCCTTCATCGGGAAAGTCAAAATTTAACGATTCATAATCATCAACTGCATTGTCCGCTAAATGGTCCGCAATCATTACGTCCTTTAATGATTTTCTCGATCATGTATACGATATTGCATTCTACTAGTAATACTTACCATCTTGCAATCCTACTTAATAGATATGGCTTCTTAAAGATATACTTGAGTGGATCTATTTTTTGAGATCAGCCATGTTTTCTATTTTCTAAGTTGTTGAGAAATGCTCACTCCTAATGATAAATTTGACTTCCAAAAGATATATGGCAACATAGTTTATCCGATCGAGATCAAGGCTCGGACTATATGTTTTCAAGCTATGATAGGACATTAGGATCCGAATTATCGTTGTTTCACCTTCGAAGTCTAGACTTATCGCCTACACTTGAAAAATATGAGGCTCTTTTAGCATTTCTTAAAATTGAGGATGTCTACTTTCTACAATCCGCTTAGTAAGCTCCGTCAAATTTTGCATGGTTAATTAGAATAGGATCCCATTTTAGCAAAAAAAAAAAAAAAAAAGCCGACCAAGAGGGACCAATCTCAAGGTTGGTTTTGCCACTCTCTAAGCAAAATTCATGAAGCACTTACAAGATCTTGATAACGGAGTTAGACTCTAAATCCCGATATTAGCAATATATGGGCCGATATTGTTACCATTAGTCGAGAGCATGATCAACGTTGAGGTGATCAATGTATTTTAAATTGTAATATCTCTCAAAGTTAAACCGCTATAATAATTTTGATAGAAGCCCTCTCTTCATTAAACTTGTGTCGAAGAAAAGGAGATGGACATTTAAGATGTTATGTCTAATTATTGTTTGTATGGACTGTAAGCCATGTAATAATTAGAAATGCATTCGGCATTTTCCATACCCTATAGCACCTACATTCTAAGTTGGAAAATTTTGCTTGTCACACCATCAACGATTTGGGTAAAACAATTTGGGTTGAGTTGTTCTTCTTTCTAGAGAAGTCTAAGTTCCATTGGAGACCATGATATACATTATTTTGGACTTATGCAACCTTTGTGGCAACTTTCCTTAGGTACCACTAATTGAAGTTCGTTGTTGCATTAGTTACTATACAAACATATTTTTGAGACAATTGGGCTTCGACCAGTTCTTCCTAAGGAAGACTAGTCTAATTAAGTATTATGAGGATCCGAGGGTTTTTAAAAAATGTTTAGAGGGAGCCAAAGTCGTTTGGAGAAATAGATGGGTCTGTCACACTAGAAAGAAGAGTGGACATAAGGATTTCACCTGGATATTTGAAATGGAAAAGCACTAGAGGAAAGGAATATCGTGTCTTACCATTCGAAGGCCTATCTTGATCGATGAATAATACAATAAAGGATGTTCGCCGAGAGCTAAATGTTCAAGTGGCTGAATTGGCCTAAAAGAAGAGAAAGTTGGAGGAGAGTTTGAATACCAAAGACCATGAGATGAGTGCTCTAGAAAAAAAAAACAACAAAGAGCTATATAGATAACTCGACAAACAAATGAAGCTTTTGATAAGTTTAGAGCTGAAAAAGATAGCCTCGAAGAATTCGAGAGATGTAACACGAGAATAGATTGTAAGTCAATCGGATATGATATGCCATTTAAATACTCGTGTGGAAGAACTGAAAGAGAAAAATAGGGTCAACCAAGAACAACTCGGCTAGATCTAAAGAGGAGCACGAGTTGGCTATGCAAATAGTGACAAATAATAGAGATGCCTTGAGAAAAAAAGTAGCTAAGTAAGGAAATAGGATTATGGAGTATCATTTATAAGCTTAGAATGCTAAGAATTATGCCTTGGGAATGTGGCACACTATAGAGCTCTTAGCCAATGGTATACGTCTAGAAGATGCAAAAGTTCAACTCTTTTATGAGAGATTCTAAAGGCTTATAAATGACA